GCACCACATCTGCAACTCATTCCAGTGCAGGTTTCACAATCTGAATGATTGGCACCTTGGGCAGATATGCCAGTGGCAACCTTTTAATTCTTTTCTACATTTAGATTTTTATCCAGAAGAAAAGAATCGTTTATATACTTGTTATTGCTTATAAAATGCCGAAAAGGCACAAACTGAAAAATGAAAGGGCTTGAACTTGGAGTTTAATATGATTGTTTTTCATAGACACAGAAATTTGTGAAGGTTGAATAATTTCAAAAGAAAAGGAACTTCTCAGTAAGAAGGAATTAACTTAGAGGAGGAAAAATGTCATGTACTTCCCATGGAGCTCATCCTATCCAAAGAGTGATGACGTAACTAGTATTATAACTAGCCAACATCTGCAAGGTAAAAACCACTCAGCTGATTGCAAGCAACGCAAGTGTCATCATGATATGCAGTATGGATAAAAGACAAGCTTGACTCAAACTTTCTGAGTGAATTCCTCTGATAATGAAAAAAGCAGAACTCAAAACTCAAGCACAAGTCAACTTATTAAATTAGATTTCTTTACAATTAGACACAGTGCTCATTAAAATGGCCCTACGATCAGGGTGCTTTTCTTCAGAAAAACAGTTGCTGTTTAAATTATCAAATGCTCATAAACTAAAACTCACAGCACTTTATTCTCACATATTGTTTGCACAGCTATTATAAACTTCTGTTCCATTTAAAATCAAGTATGGGGGAGGGGAAGGCAAAGGAGAATGACCATTTAAAGGAGTGATCACATGTTCTTCCCAAGATTCCATTATAATGACAATAAAATAATGTTCAAAAAGCATAAGCACCCAAGGGCAACAAAAACAGCAGAGAAGACAGAAGTAGATGAGATTTCAAAAACGTTTAGAAGTGAATGCAAGTGACGGAAGAGAGAGACTGTTCCTTACCGCCACACACGCATTTGGGCAAGTGTATTATCAGGTAGGAGTGCTGAGGCTTAGTCTCTGGGTATCACTGGATTCCTGGATACCTGAGGCAGCTCAGGGCTATAGTGAAGTACCAGTTGAAAAAGTGAGAATCAGTGAAAATCTGCTAAGAAATAAGGGGCCTATATCACATTAGGGCTGGTGCTAGGATCAAGAGATTATATAAATAAAATACTTGCTAGGTTTTAAACTATATAAATAAAACATCTGCTAGACATTAAACTAAACAGTGGTAATCTATTGTCACTGCAAGTAATAAATTCTCAAAGGGAATCAATGTTAAAACATAAACTAAAAACATAAAAAATTATCTATACAAATTAAGAAAACACACCCCAGTAAAATTTTTCCCATGGATTTTAGAATCATTCTTTACTTTTAGCTGTGCTAGCCATTAAAGATTTCCAAGACAAAAACATCAATTCTGTAATAATAATTTCTATCCCAGAGACCACCTAAGTAGCATCCATTGTAGGCTCTTTACTAATTAATTTTCACTCGTACACTTACCAAATTGTGATACATTTTTCTTTTTATAAACTGTGATACATTTTTTGTAATATTTTTATTGATTTCAAAGAGGAAGGGAGAGAGAGAAACATAATGGATGAGATGAGAGAGAGCCATTGATCAGCTGCCTCCTGCATGGCCCATACTGGGGATTGAGCTTGCAACCCGGAACTGTCCGGGAACTTGGACCTGCTGGTTCATAGGTCGATGCTCAACCACTGAGCCATGCCAGTCAGGTGTGTCATACGTTTTTAAAAGCCCAGCGTTATGCACTGAATTCTGTCCGTACAAAATTCACAGGTCAAAGCCCTACTTACCCCCAATGAGACTGTATTTGGAGATAGGGCCTATAAATAGACAATTAAGGTTACCCGAGGCCATTGAAGTAGTGCTCTAAGAAGGGAGAGACTTTAGGAGAACATGCACACATGTGTCCCTAACCCTGCATTGGTGAAGGTTAACTGTATTTGTAGAGTAGCTGTAATGGGTTTAGAAGCCACACATACATTAATCATCTAAGCAAAATCTTGGCACAGAATAGGCACTTAAAGCACGATGAAAGATATATAAAATTAGCTTACTGTCATCTCTTTACATCTATAATATTCAAAATGTAAGTATGAAGACTGCTGAGTTTATGTGGATGACTACGAAATTCACATCTTCGGCCTTAATCCCCCATCTCCTAAGCACTGACATTCATTTTACTCATCATGGCCCCATAATAACTTTCCCTCTTCATTTCCATTATTTGTATTAACTGACCAATTGTCTAGATGGCACATCAGAATCTCTCTTTTTTCTTAAATAAGAACAGCTGGGCCTAACCGGTTTGGCTCAGTGGATAGAGCGTAGGCCTGCAGACTCAAGGGTCCCAGGTTCGATTCCAGTCAAGGGCATGTACCTTGGTTGCGGGCACATCCCCAGTAGGAGGTGTGCAGAAGGCAGCTGATCAATGTTTCTCTCTCATTGATGTTTCTAACTCTCTATCCCTCTCTTTTCCTCTCTGTAAAAAATTAATAAAGTATATTTTTTTTAAAAAAAAAAAGCACAAAAACATCTGGATCGCTGAGATAAACATTTATACTTAAAATTGTTTTTCTTGAAATAAAAAAAATAAAAGAAAAATTAGATTACAAAAAAAAGACCCCACAAAGAGCATACATCTGATCCTACCAAGCTAACAGCATGAGTCTTTGGGCTGAGTCCCAAATTCGCCCAAATTCACCCAAATTCACCAAAGGAAAAAAGAGCATTAGTCAGCCACAGAAGGTTCCTAGAAAGTGGAAGACTGCTTCTTCCTTTCAGGACAAAAGATCAGGTCTGACAGGCAGACACATTTTAAAAGTAAAGGCCCCACCCTAGGTACAGATAGAAAAGATTTGAATTCCTGAAGAATAATAGCTGCTTTGGGGCTTGGCAAAGCATAGTCTGCATCAGCTCTCCTTGGTGCTAATTCAACCTTGGTGCTAATTCAGACCTTCCTAATTTATTAATTTCCACTCGTGACAGTCTGACAAACCCTCTTTGCCAGGGTGGTCCTTCCATATCCAATTATGGGATAGAAAGATTTGCACTTATATTATAGATTTTTCAGTAGGGAACATTCACATAAAGGGATTTCTAGTTAATCCTAAATTAAACTAATCTTATCCTAAAGTCTTTTTATTGTTTGCAACTCATATCTATTCCCCAAGCACACCTGAGGCTATAAAAAGAGAAAACATATATTACTGGCCCACCAAGATAAGAATAAAGGATCCAAGGCATGGAATATAGCCAAACTGAGATAATTACTTTAAAAACCTCAATTAAGGAAGGCGAGACCTTGCAATCAGAGATAAGTTTCACATGAAAACAGAAAAAGATGATCTCTTAACTAGGAATTGTCCACACCAGGACTGTGACAGGAGCAAAACGTTCTTACAGAAATCAATTTTTAGATAGTTTTCGATAAATACCTGGTGTGCAGATATCCTAAAAACATAATAATCATCTCAGATTCAGAAACCAGACAGCTCCTGTTAGAAAGTGACAATGTAAATGTGCTCTTCCGCAGAAGGCCCGTGGTCTACAAAACCAAAGGCTGCCCCACAGCAGGGATGCTCAGGTAGCGTCCAGACTCTCATCAGCTCAAAGGTCTGAAAAATGCTTTGTGGAGGCTCCAGAATTCTATCCTCCTTAGCATGGAAAATAGGATCTTGATCTAAGAATTTTAAGCTATTTAATTTAGAAATAGCTTGCTCTTTTACAGGATATAATTTGAAGGTCCATAACATTAAAAAAAAAATCTGGCATTGCGTTGTGACAGAGTATCTGGAAAACTAACCTGTTATTATGAGGACAAATATGAAAGCAGGGTAGTCTTTATTAAGGAAATTATAGCAAAAATATTTCATTAGATATCAATGTGTAGTCGAAGCGGGGAGATGAGAATACTATAACTTCTTTCAGTGAGTCTGTAAGGAGCATTGACACCTCCAGCTTTAGAGTGACCAGATGCGCCCTCAGTAAGAGTAAGTCTTTATTTTCTATCTGACTTATTAA